ATACAAAATATAATACTCTTCACCCTCTACTACTATAGAGTTTTTTAAACGATAGAACCTGATAAAAAAGTTATGTTATTCGAGAAAGTTCTTTCACTTCATTCCGTTAGACTTACAAATTGAACTAACCTACATCTTAAATTTTTAAATTAAGGGTTTGTGTATTTCCTCTTTCCATCATTATTGCTCATTAGCGTTGTTTTTTTTCCGCCGTTCGCGCCGTCTCTTTAGTCAATGTTCTTGAAGCTTTGAAATTTCAACTCGTTTTCTCTGATCTACCTTTTAATAAATGATTGCGAACCTCTTTGCTCGAGAAACAAACTTCGCCCAGTGCGGGTAGGGCGGGCTTGTAACTTTGTAACTTTTGCGACAGGTATCGAGCAAACTTCCTACGTACATTAATATATACTGTTTATCCCTAATCTTTAACTACTTTCCAGTTTCAAGTCCCGAGAGAAGTGCAAGCCGAGATATTCTCGGCCTGGTTTGTTCTTTTTAATCAGTGTCGGCCGTTGAGTGGATTCCGTATCGCTAGAAAGTATTTTCCGCAACTATTGAATAAAAGTAAGACGTAAAAAATAAATTATATCTTAAAAACAATAAATAGCTTCGAGACATACATCTTATCTATAGAAAAGTTTATCTTCTGATAATCTGCTCAAACCACTTCTCTTAATGAAAGACATACAGTAATAGTTACAAGTAATAGTTTTATTATACTGTTTATCTTCTACGTATCTTTTTCGAAAAAGCATTAAAGTTATACGACATAATATGAGCGTATCAGTAGTATTACTGACACCATAAATAAATTTTGATCCTTTGTTGTTCCTCTGCGCTACGTAAAGATGCTGAACAGACATTATCCCAGATGGCTTTTAATATTCTGCTAGCTCTTGAGCGATATGGGGATAAAGCCGGCAGCGCAAAATTTGCTTTCAACAAGGAAGGATTTGCTGCACCAGGCTATCTTCGCGCAAAAACGCTTTTACGGTTATTTTTAATCCATCCGGTGCGCGTATAGAAAATTCATGAAAGCGCGAGAACGCGATCCCGCACTATTTCTTGCTCGAGGAAGAACGCGGAGTATGATGGTTCGGACGGCCTACGTTTTCGCGTTTACACGGTAGAATTATTGTTTACACGGAGGAACACCATTCCACGAGTTGGAAGTTGGTATGAGCAGTAGGCAAGCAGAAATGTTACGTCAACATGATATGAAGAACTGGAATGATATAACATTATCACAGATTTCAAACGAAATGCTAAAGATTCTTTTGATGTACATTATTTCTCATCGAAACCGATCTCACTATTGTCTGTCCCTTTATTTTAAAAAAACATGTTTCGCACATCAGAATTTTGCAATGATTTATAAAATATTATGACAGAAAAATAGCAAGAGAATTTTTTAAATATTTATTTTAATAAAATTAATTGAACCTTTTTTTATTGAATCTTTTAGTCTTCGACAATTTTAGCCACGATTACTTTCGTCAACTAATTACAAATAATTTTATATATATATGTCTTAATTTCCACAAAAAGTATGATATATACTTTAATCAAATGAGAGAATATTATTTTGTAATTCATTCTCTCTTGATGTCCCGTGCCCGAATTATAACCATTGAGTCGAAAGTAATAATGTCCAATAACGTACAGTGAATATGATAATTCGTAATTCGAAGCAGAATGAAAACGATAATACGAGCAGGCGAAGACGGCAATTAAAAGTGATGACTCCTACAGACTGTTATTCCAAAGTTGGCGTTAGTAAAGCTGTGAGCGCTCCGTCCGGTTTATAAATGCTGATAATTTGGAGAGATAGAGTTCCTTTTTTTGGAAGAATGAGAAGATGTACGCTTGGGTGCAACCACATTGAGAGAAGTCGAGTCGTTGAACCTGCTGTTGCGAAGGGACAACGAGTTAATTCGTCGAGCTGTACGCGGCAGGACAACTATTCTTTCGCTCAGTTGGGACCTTTAGACTTCACCGAGATTATTTGTATTAATTAGAGAAACCCGAAATTATAGTCGCGGTCAGGTGATCGTTAAGATGTCTATCGACGCCCATCCGAAGGCCGTAGCTCGAAAAAGATACTCTGGCGAGACAAGAATATAGCGTGGAGACCTTCAAGCTCGACGCAATCTATCATTTGAACAAACGGTGATTATTTCTTTCCTACTCTAGAGCCATGAGGCTCAAATGATTTTTGCCGCAGCAAGACAATTCAGTCGTCTTTCTCTTAAAATGTATCGTACACAGTTACACTTATATATAAAGATAATTATCCTAGACGTCGATAGATCAAAATATGTTCGGGAAAAACGAGAGAATTGACAAACATGACGATCAAAGTAAAACCAATTTGAAAAATGAGATAAATAAAAACGATCGTAAAGCGTCGTTGGAGATTACTTGTGTATTATCCCCGAATACTCGAATAGATTGCTTTCGTGTGCATATGCATGCGCCGTACGCACGAAGCGGATAAACGAAATATTTTCTCCGTGTATCTGTTGCAAGTGGCAGATGGTATCATGATAATATTTTACGCAAGCTGAGATCCGAAATATGCCAGGTGCTGTTGCGATGTATGTAAATCCAAAGTCACTATGCAAAATATCAATATATATATATATGTTCGTATTCTACGTTTTATATTTCCACTTAATAGTTTTATTATTAAATTGCAATAAACGCGGAAATATTAATTTATACGTGTTTCTATATCCAACAATATTTCTACCTTTCAGATTTATGTTTCGTTACATTTCATTCTTTTCACTCAGAATGCGATTCATGACGATAGCCGGCAAATGATGCATGCCATCATGCTATTATCGTCTATCGACGTTATTACCAACAATTGACGGCTCATGTTGCCATATTGTTACTAGCCAAAGCCACGTGGCTTTACACAACTACCTTTCATGTTCCGAACGTTAGGTACATTACCCTATTATTTACTCTCTCGCTAGGGATTAGGCATTATCCTGTTATTTACATTCATTACGTAAATGCTTTTTATTTCTCAGTTTACTAAAAATATGAATTGAATATTGTAATTATGTTCAAAGAGGAATATAATAATACATAATTATTACAATTATATTTTTTCAATTTTAAATTTTACCTCAATCTCAAGCTAATCTTCTCCATTTTCGTAACAAGCGACATCTGATTGTACATCTTTCGAACTGCTTTACTAAGCGCTACTACTTTAGTTCTGCTTTGCAAGGCTTTGTAATATACGTCTGTCACTTACAGCTCACTTCGCAATCTCAGCTGAGAACGCGAAACCATCGAAGACAAGCTCAACTTGCACGGGATTGAGCCGATCGATAAAGTTTCGTGCATTTCGTTGCCGCAATTTCAGACAACAAGGCACTTGCACGTTGACGCTGATGAGCCGTACGACTTCCACTCACGGCGCCTGCTTTGCATCGTGGGGAAGCCAGACTTACACATATACATTCGCTCGATACATACGGATACATTTACGATATATATACATGCACCTTAGAATACAGAAATCTATAATACTCCGCAAAGGATACGTGGTCTTCTACGTGATCCGGAGAAGGAAACGACGGATTATTTCCCTTAGGGCGTCGAAATCGGAAGCACTCTCGTGCTTCCGAACGACAGGCAGGTGCGCGTGAGGGAAAGATCGAGAACCGTTCGACAGGATGACCGAAATAAGAGGGTTCGATTTGCAAGAGTGCCGCACTACCCTCGCCGACGTAAGATTTCCAAATATAGAGATCTCCCTCCGTCGTCGCGAAAAAAACCTTCGCCAAAAACCCGTATCTATTCAATTCGAAGTCGGCCGAGTGTGAGAACGAAAGGTAACTCCTACTTCTTAGCGAATAAGTGGAAAGGGAAAAGTACGACAAGCAACGTATTTATACAAAAATGAAGACACGTGAACGAAATATAATATATTTGAAATATAATATATTTTCATAGTAACGCAGATGTAAAAATATATAGAAATTTTCAGATTAGCCAAGCTTATGCCATTTAAGCATTACAAAAAAAGACGTTTTGAGTACAAAATATTGTCGTGAATATCGGACAAAAAGAAGAACAAGAAAAGAGGAAGGCACTGAAGATACAAAGGGCGACGAGATCAAGTAAGATGATAAGGAAGGTGGCGGATAGAAAGTGGTTGGTGGATCGGGATGACTAGGATGAGATCAGATCAGATCGGTCGTGGGCGGCATTGACGACGGTGATGGTAAACTCGTGGGCTGTGGTAAGCGCAGAATCGTGTCGCGGATAAAGTGGTACCCGTCACTGTCTGTCAGCAGCCCTTGTCGCAGTTTCTCTCTTCTTCATCCCCCTCGTAGCGGCTCGCGATCCGACTCGGCGTCATTCTCTTCGATTCTCCCGTGTACCTTTCCTGTCAGTGAACGCAATGTAGCACGGCAACCATAACTCATGAACGTGCATAGACGAGTGCGTATTGCACGAGAATGGAACAATCGTGAGTGTCAATGAATCAATCGCCTCGTCGGTTTCTCCTTCGTCTCTCTCTCTCTTCCTTTTTTATTAGTTTATCCAGTAAATAACGATCTAGTAGAAGTATAATTTTTTGTTGAATAGAAATGAATCGTCGACGATAGGAATTCAGTGTATGAAATGATTTATATATAACTTCTGTAAATAATTTTTGTTTTCCAGCAAAATTAAACTGACAGTAAATTACAATAATAATTCATTCTTCATACGTATTTTTAATATTATAGACACATTTAATATATAGACACATTTTAGAAAATTTATTTTCTAATGATTCGTTCTCTATTTTTAAACGTATCTTTTGTTTTTAAAATTTCCATTCAATATTCCTCATTTTCTATTATCGTTCTAATTCAAATATTGGTGTAAAAGACAAAACAATCTTATTCCTTGCACGAGAAATGGAACTAAGACTATTAGAAATAGAGATAAAAAAGTGATAGTGAGCCGACAATAGGCAGATATATAAGGAGAAAGAGGGAGGGAGAAGGTTAACTTACTCTTTCGCGCTTTTGTTGGAAAATGATACGAGTTGCCCGATGATGAACAGATACGAGCAACAAACGCGCTTCTCGCACGTAGTGTCTACGTCGTACCGACCTTGCCCATCGCGTATATGCCTGCTTGCATGCACGTACATACAAAGTTAAGCGTCTACATGCGTACACCGGATAGTACACAGCGTACAATCGCGTATACCAGCGCGTACACCACCAAAGGATAGTCGAGGAAGCCCCGAGGGCCTGTCGGAGGTGAGAACAGTACATTACCCTCGCTCACGTATGCCTCTCCTCCCTCACTCTTTCCCCCTCATCCAATGTTCTCCATATCTACCTCCCCCCCTCGCCCCCGGTGCCCTTCCCTTGCTCACCCACTCCTTCACTCTCTCATTATATTCACATATTTTCTTCAGTCGGTGTAACTATGGCAACCTTTTTTTACTAACACTCTGTCATATACAATCAATACATATCTATAAATCCTGCATACAAATGATACAATTCTAGTGTATGTATATGTGTGAAGATGTACAAATATTTAATACATACTTTCTGAATCGTGTTTAAAAAAATATTAGTTCGTCCAACGCGTGGCACGAGAAATATTCTCAACGCGATTTCGGTTTTCATTGGACAAGAAAATTATATCAGGCGCTTATTTATCAACCAGTATATTTAATATATAACCGGTTCATCCGACGTGATCGGTAATGACATCAACATGTGGCGTCCCTGCATCAAACGGAAATGCGGTTCGTATTTCACACCATTTAATTTGACATTAATTGGACAGAGTGTGATTAACGAATTATTGCCATATACAATGCCGTTACGTCTGTCAAAAGTGAACGTTACAACTATCGCCCGTGTCGGTTTCGTAACAGTGGGCGGAATGTACAAGTTTAACATTAATTATGGGTGATTCAATAGACTGTCGATGATTATGATGAACTGAAAATGTGTACCATGAATACGTAATATACGGAGAAATGTACTACGAAGCGCGTGTTAAAATACAGTTGCAGCTATTTCGGAATGTAATGTATCGGGAAATACGTAACGGCGTCCGCGGCCTATTGTTTGCCATCAAAAATGTTCATTCTTGAAATATTGACCCGCCCGTGTTTGCCCATGGACGGGTTAATAAAAGGAATTTTCAGACAAGACAATTCTTGTAGGAAAAACGGAGAATCCACGAAGGTACACTGCGACGTAGGAGCCATCATAGAGGATGATGCGAAGTCAACAATGGCGTCCGGCTGTCGGTGATGAGAGGAGAGAAGAGAGATGGTCCATTAGCTCGGCTGTCACTCAACGACCCGACTGGCTAGTACGCATTATGTACACACCCACCCACGGATACGTGTCTACAGTACGCGTGACATAAAAGTTGGTATATATCGCTGCGCCAATGTTGGGAGAAAAATTTTCTAGCTTATATATTGTTTGCCTAGTTGCACACAAAAAAGGCATTTAATGTAATTGATGATGCAATACAATTTCTCCTATATAATAATCGATTATCAATACACATTGTTTTAAATAAAGATATATTTTCTGTGAAAAAATAACAATAGAGGTTGTATATAAATATTATTATTTGTAAAAAAGGTTATTATAATATGTTGAAATTCCTTAATTTTATTCAATTACAGATTCTAATAGAATTGTTTTGTGCTAGCTGGCTAGTATATACAAAGCATGTGACAACAATTAAATTAAATTAACAACGTATTTATTCAGAGATTACCAATTTTGTAATTATTTAATTAATTAGATCATAATTAAAATTAAATCTGCGTACACAAAAGTTTAAAACAAACCAATAACTACACGAATAATTACATTAAGAAGATTATTTCGTTCGTCTCGTTGTTATTATTATTAATGTAATAATGAAATCAATATATGTGTTTCTCTTTAATCATCAAAATAAATCAATTTAACGACATGTTTAAGAATAGTTGTGAAAAGAAAATTATAAGAATTTGAAAAATAATTAAATTTGTATTTTACAGATTAATTAGATATTTGTCAACAAGAACAATGGAATTAACAATAAATATACAAAAACAAAGTAAACAAGGAAACAAGTAAAACCAAATGTGAAGCGTTAAATGCATGCACTATCAACAAATTCGATCGCAAAGTAGATTACTCGAGATTAGTCGGCTGTACAACTCTACAAAGGAGAAGATCGCGAAGAGTAAGAAAAAGTTGTTGATTTAAAAAGTTTGCAGAACTCTCGCGCCCTTTAGTCCCGAATGGTTCACTGGTAACGTTTTTTCTGTACGGGAAAACCATCGGAAGGAAATGAGAAGATTGAGATGCTTGGATTCTTTAAAATTCATAGGAAGCCGGTAAAGAATTGGACATTAATTAGACAGAAAGTTAGGAACACACGCAAAGTCGTACGGTACAATCTAATCTAAAATAAATCCTTTAAACGTGCCTCAGAATGCTATAAACTATCACGTTATAACTCAAGTGTAATGTCGATTGTGTGCACTTCATTGACACTACTAATAGTATTAAGGGTATTAATATTCTATTATAATTAAAATGCAATATAATATGCAATTCCCAGTTGTGCATATGAATTATTAATACTGTTGATTTTGTGGATTGGTAAGAAGCGAATTGGAAATTTTGGTACATAATATATAACATTATTTCAAGTCCAATAATTTCTAATTAGCGTTCATTATTAAATACATGATCTGTATCAAATAATTATATAAAGATTGTATCGAAATTAATGCAATAAACGTAAGAATATTCAATTCTCGAAGTTCTGACGTTTTTGAAGATATAAATGATAAACGTAGTCATTATTCGAAGCAATGACGATGCATAACGAGGTCACCATAATTAATGAGTAGCTTTCTTCTCGCGTTCTGTTCTATTGTTAGTATGATATACTGTCTTTCTTTCGTTGCATGAATAATATTTTCCCATCTATCGAGTAGAACGACAATGAAATGAATTTTGTTCTTGGAGCATATATAAAGTATAAAATGGACTGCGACATTTATTAAATACGACGGATTTAATAAAAATCATTTACAAAAGAACTGTAAAAACTGTAAAAAGATTTAATATCTATTATCTAAATTTGTGAATATACATAAAAACAACAAAAAGTGTTTTAAAATTTTATTAAATATAGATGGACAATGGAAAAATCCTCGAGAAATCACGCAAAAAGAGCAAATGTTTTGCAAGAACGAGTCTGTGAAAGTATTGAGGATTATAAAAGATATAAAATAATAATTGCGAAATATAAACCGAATATAAACTCCATGTGATACGATCGTTAAAAAAATTGTCTGTATTTTATCGGTGCTAAAATCAGAGATTTAAAGATATTAAATTTTTCATGCATGCAAATTTACGTATAGTAATTAATGAGTGTTAATCTTTCAATATATAATAGATATTTGAAATATAAAAGCATTAGATTGTGAAATATTATTGAAAGCTATTATTGCAAACACTAAAATTATAAGTAAAATTTGTAATTTAGTACTTTGTCTCAATGGATATTTAAAATATATAACAATAATTCGATATTAACAAAATATATTAAAGAATAATTTAAGTAAGATATTAAATATTAATTATGCAGATGTTATAATAATACATTGTACTTTAATTTTAATGCATTACTAAAACATTATATACATATATTTATGATAATTATTATCACTATATTATTTTAATGCATTCGCATTTGTAAATGATATTATTCGTGGATTATTGATATTGCTAATCTGATAATTTGAATACTTTTATCTCAAATTTTTATACATCTAAATTAATAGTGTTTATTTTGCAATTAAGTAAAAATTGTTGTTATTTTCTACTTCATTTTTTTATATTCAAATATTCGCATCAAATTTGTAAGGTATAGTCAAAGCATGGATTTTCATGAGTGGCAGTTGGTCACGCATACCGAGAGGCAGTCTTATTGAATAAGTGGACAAGTACCCGGCGAAGAAAGGAATTAATGCAATTCCAATTAGCCGGGCAAGCTAGCACCGCACTTGGTCTCCATCGGTTTTGCGCTCCTTTAAAAAGACAAACCGCCGCCAGTCGTGGAAATTAGTAAACGGTGCGTATATACCGAGGCAATTTCGATGAAACCGACCGAGCAAGTAACCAAGTAAATAAAACCAACTAACCAAATAGGCATGAAGGCATAGGCGAGAGAGAAAAAGAGAGAAGAGAGAGATGGGAAGAAGAGGGGTTCGAAAGTATCCAGATAGATGGGGGAGAAAACAAGCGATAGGAAATAAGGAAGAGACGGACACCAGCGAATTCGCGTGAATCTGAAAAACAGTGACGTTCTTATACAGACAGGATGAGGGAATGAGAAAAGTGTGGAATGGCCGGGAAGGGATAGGGACAATTGAGAGCGGAAATTGTAAGCGGAGAGTGTAAGCGTAAAAGGAAGACATAGGCGATAACCATTCCGAGCGAGGGAAGCGCGAGAGAACAAGAAAAAGCGGGTCCCCGTGAGCTGCGTTGGGGATACCTGGCCCTTGGAGTGTTGTTGTCAAGGGAGTGCTGCCGCTGGATTTCGACACAGCCAAGTAAATCACGCTGAAATGCGGAAACGAGCGCGAACAGGAACACGCAAAGAGTTTCGTCTGCCTGGAAATTTTCGATTACGTAGTAGAACTGCTGACACTGCGGTCGCCGTATCAATCCATTTCTTCGGGGAATGTCGCTTGAATTTTCGCGTCGCGTAACTCGTCGTGTAAATTCGGTACGGGTTCGAGGCGCGATTGCAAGATTCGACGAACTTGCGAATTATGACCTGTCGCGCGGAATGTTGGCTATCGCTTATAATTACTGACAGTTCTGGGTCTCCTCGATTTGGCAGACGTAGGAAATGCGACACGGATACCGTTTGTAGTTACAGCATACGGCGCGATCTTATTACAAAATTAGAATTACGAAAGGTACGAATGCATGCAAAAATAGCGATTATTAGTAAGTTATGCAGTTATTCGATATATTAGGTCATTCTATTTTCCCGAGATAGAATCGATGGCGCATTTTCGCACATTTATACAAGTCGTTCCCTCAATTTTCAAACCCTTCCCGTTTCTCGCGTTTCCCCTTCTAGCTACACGGCATGGGCGTAATTTCGTGAGTTATTAATAATTAACTCGGAATTACATGCACCTAACCGCTGGATAATGCCCGGCGGTTTGCGATATATCCATCTAGCACGCGACGTGCGATACATCAACTTTTAACCGCGATAATCCGCACTCTTTCGCATGTAATACCTGCATATATGTATTTCCTTTTCTTCCCCCTCGCGAAAGAAGTCCCTCGGCAACATAACTGCCGCGCGATAATGTTCCTAAATTTATTCATTCCCGTCTTTTAACTCTCTCCTTCGTGATTCTAGCTTGTCTAGAATCACCTCAGCGTCTAAGTTTCTTTCAGCATTTCCCTGCTGTACGCACGTAATACGTCTACCAAACGTCCATTATAATCTTTTTTTCATATTTTAACAAATATCATATTTTTGCATGTGCTCTTGTTTTATAACATTCAATGTGGAGAAAAATATTGTCTCTACTTATGCAAGAACTTTCACACACAAAGGATGTAAAAAATAAAGCGATAAATACTTCGCGAAGAGTGCAAGATTCGCAAACTTTTCATCCATTAGATAAAATTCGAGCGCTTGATGTATCAAAATAAGAATGTTTCCTTGCGGGGTAAGATGGATCACGTCGTTACGACACGGGGGGGGGGGGGGTTCTGCGACTACAAAAGTGCATACTCTCGGAACGCGCGTCGCGCCGGGCGCTAGGTAAGGTCTCTAACGAGTCCTCGAGTAATCCGGTTAGGTAGCGGCGAGATTTGATTAAGTTTTAACTTTGGTTCACACGGGGAGGCGCAGGCGGACGCGCACATTGGAACGAATTAAGCGAGTTTTACTTAGTGCTCGTGGCGCAGAAAGAACGGTCCTTCGGAAAACAAACGTGCTCTCGGGGACCCTTTGCCTTACTACTTGCCTCTCCTACTCTTTTCGCATCCCCGCGTCTTTCTTCGTCGTCCGTATTTCTCCGTATTTTTTCCTTTTCTCCCCTTTTTTTGTCAGTCGTCGACGAGAATCTCTTTGCAACCATTTTATAGCCGCGGAGGATAAATAAAAATAAGTTTAAAGTTTCGTTGCAAGATGTTCCAGGAGTCCACGCCTGTTTCTTCCCTCCCCTCCTCTCCCTCCCTCCTCACTTCGTTCGTCCTCTTCGCTCCCTTCGCCCAGGAGAATCGTATTTCACGCAGAAATCTTGGCAATCCGAGTACGCCAGCGGTCCACGGATTTCGGATGAGAGAGATGTATGTTTGGATGCAGGAGGCGAAGGCGTCACGCACGTGACTCACATGATGAACGCTTTCGTATAATATCGTGGCGTTTTATATTTTCGTAAATCATAAAGCTCGCGTTAAAATTTACGTTTCTTCTCGATGATAATGTGTAAACCTGAGAATCAATTTATTTATTTAATTATCCGTCTACTTTATTCGATAATTGCACCATCGTTTCGTGCGAGATGACACTCTAAGATCATCCCCATTAATGTTCTCCCACGGAAATACAGAATCGCAAGTGACGCGTATTAAAAGCGCGATCAATCGATGGATGTTCTCGGTGAGAATGTAATCTGTGCATGTCGATTTCGAAGAATGGAAAAGTGCGAGGTCTC